CCCAATAGAGTTTCCCATTGGGAACCTACTAGCACTAAGTTGCTAACTGGTTAGCAAGATGCTTCCGACAAACCGGCCACAACCAAACATGCTTGCGAACCTTCCGCCACAACAATCCCGCCCCCTTGATAAACGACCAATCACATTCACTTTATTCACTCGTGAAAGTCATGCACCACTCGGGAGAATTCGGAAATGCAACGTTTGGAACAGTCGCTTCCCTACGACTTTTAAATCTTTGCCCTGTTCCAAATGATTTTCTGAACATTTCAGTTAATGAACCAAACTAATATATTTAAAATGAACCAACCTAATATACTTACTTTTAACTAAATTAACATGAATTAATGTTTGTATTGACACCAGTTAATTAATTTAAGTATAACCAAATTGGCAAGAGGTTGCACATAGCATCGTTGCTAACACGATCACCTATCTAACATATCATGGAGACTCCAACAGCGACGGCCGGGTATCCAGCATTTAACTAAAAAAAACTCCACACTGTACCTTAAAGCAATGTTTGTTTAGCTCTGGATGTAGCCCAGTTGAACGTGCAAGGACTTTTGGCTAGCTAACGTTAGCGATTGATTGTCATAACGTTATCGGTACATGCGTAAACACTCAGACATCAGCTAGCTAATATTAACTAGTTAACTAGCCAGCTATAACCTTGATTCTATGCAACTGCTTTGCTACTTGTGTTTATTTATGGGCGAAATCCACCCAGAATGTTGGGACGACAAAAATGGCGCTCTCTCAAGGTCAGGGACTTGGACTTGATCATGTGACAGCAGCGTGCAAAGCGCAATTTTATACTTGTGTTTAGTTCAGATTAAATCAAACTCTATGTCTCAAAATCCAAAAAGAATGAGTCACACAATCAAATCAATAATTTTATCCAGTTTACAGTGAAAGTCATTAGTTTGAATGAACAGCTTCATGTTGCAGTTCCCTGGGATCCTGAAAATACTTATTGATTAGTTATCACTTCAAATAACAAGGTAATTGTGAACATTATTATTGGTTTTATTGTAATGGATGAAACAGATTGCTTTATCCCGATAGAGGAAGCAATAAAAGCAATGTTAATGCAGCTGGGACCCTCAGAGCAGATGAATGTCGTTCATGCATTGTTAGCAGTCACTATATATTTTGGAACACATAGGAAAATGTAAATTCAACAAAAATTGTCTGTCTGGCCAAGATTTCTCTCAATCCTAGAAGCTATTATTAGGGAATGTTTATGTGACACTGTGGACTTGGTGCAAAAAATGTTTCAAACTCTGCATGACAGGATTACGGCCTTGGGATGGGTGAAACTCAACAATTAGCAGGTGTTTCTAAACAGCAGCTGCACCACATTCCCAGACAATGTTTGGCAATGTTTCTGGAGAAAACTGATAGAATACCAAGATGACTGAGATATCTTCCATGCAATGTTTCCAGACTC